CCCTTGCGCCGTGCTCGCCACAGCCACCGCGAGCCGCGGCGCCGCGCCCCGCATGCTTGCCTCGCCACGCATGTCCCTGCGCGCGCCCGCTCGCCGCATGCGCGCTCGCCGAGCCCGCCCGCCTTGCTTGCTCGCCGTCGCATGCATCAGTGGGTGATGGGTTGGTGGACCCTTTTTATTTGTATGACAGACGGGCCAAACCACACATGCAAGCGGACCGAGGCGGACGAGGAGTGGCCAGAAAGTGTCCGTCTGTGTCCGCTTTGGCCTCAAAACGAGACCAACTTTGATTCGGAGATGGGGTGAAACGGACATGAAACGGACAAAAAAGTAAAATAGGATCTGCCGCTAGGTCATCTGGTATGTCCGGTTTACCTCAAACGGACACACCTGGATAAAATGGGGTGTGCGGTGGAGTTGGCCTGAGTAGTACAGTTGATCAGGCTCCGTGGAACCTTCATCCAAGTCCGGGCCTGCGTGTCAGCGTCGCCCATGGCCGGATCTAACTAACGAACTCACCCACCGCCACCGGTATCCATCACCGCTCGAGCATGCCTGCTTCGCGCATATCGCAGTGCGTACGGCACAGTGTGTTACTCAAACGCAGCTGCGCGATTAGCATGCATGCAGGCCGCCCAGCCTTTTGCTCCCCCTGCCCTTCTACGTGCAGCAATTGAATGGCGCACGCTCCCCCTAGGAGGCTGCCACCCCACGACGAAATGCTCCCATCCCCGGTAGTAGTATAAATCCGCGAATCCGCCACCACCTTTCTGCGCCACCGATCCTTTAGCCACGACGGCACCTGACCTGATCAATCCATCGGAAGACCTTCTCGCCCACACACAGACATGGACATGGAGATGGAGGTGAGTCCAACAAAGCATGCCGTTGTCGGCTTGGTTCTCTAGCTCGTACTACTATATCGTTGGATGCTGATGCGAGTGTGCTACATACCTGTGTCCAGCAGAGGATGATGGGGTGCCAGATCCCGGCGTTCGGGGTGTGGAACTACTGCAGCGACCTGCCCATCACGCAGTACTTCGACCTCGCCATGCAGGCCAGGCTGCTCAAGCGCCACCGCCGCTGCTGCGACGCCGGTGGCGGTGAACGCCGCCTCGTGCTCTTCGGCGCGTCGCCGTCTCCACGCAAGCCGCCCCAGATCAAGGTACGCACACACGACATGCTTGGGTTTCCAGGCTTGTCATTTTTCGTCACCTTTTAGGATGGAGTTGGCTGATTGGGTCCGATGTACATTTTGGGCGGCCTCGGTCAGGTGATAAGGAGGGAAGTCGGGGAGAAGCAGAGCGACGGCGGCGAGCTGCTGCGGGAGCTGGACGGCGGCATGGGAGGGAGGGTGGCTTCTGACAGCGCGACCAAGCGCGTGGCTGCTGCCGGGGCCGTGGACGAGGACCTCTACAAGGTGCCACGGCCGCTCGTATACCAAAAACCTCGAAAGGTAGTACGTGGGTGTTTACAAACAACCCTGCTCTATAGCTTTTTGCCTTGCAACGATTAATTGTCTGTCTAAAAAAAATTCAGACGAGGAAGGTGGTCTGGAGTTTGTGGATTGGGTGCCTGGGGCTTGACTGCATCGCCTAACAAAACTGGAAACGGCTTATCATCTTCAAGCTTCATCAGAATAATAGTGTGCCATGAATGCGTTACCTGCTCGATTTGGCTGTACTTCTCTGTGCTCTACAACTAGCTTCCACTTATCAACAGCACTGGTGTTCTATATATAACGTTTTATAAGCTTTCAATAACACTGTACTGTCTGTAACTTGTGTGTGTATTACTACCAAAGGAACATATCCTGCACTTTGATTTTGTGGACGCAAAAAATTGCAGTAAGGCTCTCGATGGCTAAAGCCAGCGCTTTTGGTTCAGAGGAACTCAATCTCCTTTGGGAGATGAATGTGCCTATAAAGATTAGGATCTTTCTTTGGCAATTGGTTCGAGGCCGCCTCCCCTCGGGAGTAGAGGTGTTGTAGCGAAACGGACGTAGCGATGAGAATTAATTGCCCATTATGCGAGACTTCGGAAGACTCCATCCACATCTTCTTCACGTGCCCTTCCGTGATTTTTCTATGGAGCTCTCTTAGGGAGGCGATCGGTGGCAGGCGGTTGGTGTCATGGCAGCCTCCCGGATAAGTTTCGGG